GCGGCGGTCCGCCCATGAAGCCCTGGTACCGAGTGCCAAAGAGGGGGTCTTTGATGGAGACGTCTGGTGGGAAATTCTCGAGACTTCCCGAGGCCTGTCTCTTTTCCATTGCACTGCGGCGTTTGATCAATGGAGACAAAGAGGAAGCACGATCGACATTCGCCCAGCCGGTGCCCCAGCTGGCACTGTTCCAGTAAAACTCGTCAATGGTCAGACTCCAGATCTTGCGGCGAGTCTTGCCCTCGTGCTCTTCCAGGACCATTTGGTCGTGGTAGATGCCCCCGTTGAAGCCGGCCAGTCCGGAGAAGCCACTTGTGCTGTTCAACCCGGTGCCGGTCTGGAGGTTTCTGCCTCGTAGAGTGCTGGAGCGTCCGTCATGGCTGGTCAAGACGACGAGCTGGATTCTCCAGTGGAAAGGGATTGAGCCTCTGGGGGCAGGGTTTAGAGAGGCCGTGTTAGGCCCGTAGCGGGCTGCGCAGGCTGTGGTGATTCGCGAGGGAGAGCGGTACCATCCTATCCCAGGTGATGCTTTGAAGCCCTTTTGGGCATGCAGGTCGCCGAACAGTGAGCAGCGGACGTCGTCTATGTAGAAGCCATAGGCTGAACTGAGATTTTCAGTCTCGTCGAATGAGGAGGAGCGCAATAGGCGGCGGGCAAGGTCCGGGAGAAGCTCGCTTGTCGGGTGGACTCCCTCGCGGAGTAGCGGACTCCAAGACTCGGGACGGCGCGGAACAGAAGAAGAGTAGTTCAAGAAGCCGAGAAGAAATGCCGGAGGAGTAGGAGGACTAGCTCTGGCTGGCAAGATTCCTCCCGATGCCCAACCAGCGGCGTATTCAGCAACCAAGAGACGCGAGTAGTTGAGATTCTGAATCTTCCAGATGGAAGTGTCTGGGTCACGGACGAGGGTGTGTCGGAAGGTGCAGAACTGCCACTGTGCAGACCTGTTGGCATGGTCGCCTATCATGCCAATTTCAAGGCCTCGTGCAATAGCAGACAGGCCGTCAGGGGCGAGCTCAACTGTGGTCTGGTAGATGGGATGATCATTCAGGATGCCTCGAGTCAGTCCAGCGGGTCCCATTCTGTTCAGAACGGACTGCAGCCCCGAGGCGCCAGGAGGAGAAGTGTTGGAGTCGACGGATATGGTGCCGTTTGGCGTAAAGAGGTCGATCACGTCGTCCCACATTCTCCGGTCGACGTAGTATCCCATGGAATGCACCAGGTTGCGCACTTCATCTTCTTCGTTGAGCTGACTGATGCGGTAGACCAATTCTTCGGGCGAGAGAGATTTGCCCTCTGGAGCCGCGGATGGTTTCTGGTTCAGGATGGGAATACCAGCTTCGTCGGGAGTGTAATGGTATGGGATGACGGGCAGGCCCTTTCCACCGACATTTTTCCAACCATCGCGGTAACTGCCCGCGTAGAGGGGATAGTACCGCATGAGTGAGATCTTCCAGCGCTCGCCGACAAGGGCGTACTGGTTCTCAAAGATGCCGCCTTCGATGCGGGAACTTCCCTTTCCATCGCCCATGAAGCGAAGGCAGTGCCATCTTCCTTTTGCAGATTTGCCGTCAGCCGAGAGGGTGATGACGGGCTGCTCGTTGATCCACGTGTTCAGCGACCCGGGTTGGAGGCCGTCCATCTTTCCGGCATCGGTGCGGAGCCATGTCTCGATGGCAGCGGGCCCGGTGATGGCAGCAGCGTCGCTGTCGTCCAGAATGTTGGCACCTGTCCCGGCGCCCCAGCGAAGACTTCCATTGTCGGCGAAGAAGGACGCCATCAGCTGAAACCGTCCATAGTGGGCGAGCTGGGCAAATGTTCTCTGCACATTTTTGATCTCACGGACCGACTCGAGACGGGCAAGATCCTCGGTCAAGGACTCGATCGTCACCGGGCTCTGGGCAGAGGCCCTGGTGACGAGGAGCACCGTTGCCGTCAACACCGAAAATAGCCTCATTTTGCTTCACTCGATCACCTCGACTAATGTTCAGGAGCTTACACGAAGCAACACCTACTGGGAGGAATCTGTGGCATACAACAAGTGCCGTCCCCGAGAAGGGGGCTCGGAAGTTTTATAGGGACCAGGACATAATATACAGGCGTCGTCATGACAGATACGGCAGATCAAGGACCTGAGTGATGCCACAGCAGTTGGTACCTGACCAGGGGGCCACCACTTTACTGTAATATATTGCATCTTTCTGTTTTGCGGGGAAACTACAAGTAGCTGTCGATCCCGCTGCAACCGTCGGGATATGAACGTATTGTCGGCTGAAGCCGAGGTCATCTTGGCGATCCACTGTCTGCGGTAAATGTTGTCGGTTTGGATTCAGCAAGCCGTGTTCTTGGAGAAGGAGCGGGGATGGCGGATTATTCAACGTTCGACAGAATTATTGACTTTGCGATTACGGTATTAGCTTTGTATGCATAGAGGCGTCGGTCGGTACCAATAATCCTCGATGTTGACTGTACAGTCTTCGCTCTTATTGTTGGTCTGGATACTTGGCGCTGCTTGTCTTGCTGCGCATGTCGTGTAAGTATACGGTATCCTTGAAGTAAATAGGTGTCCATCTGTTACGACCAGAAACCTGGTGTCTTAGTCTAGACGGCAATTATCCTAAAGTGAATCGTTTCCTCTCCATATAGCCAACTCACTCATCCGAGACGCACTCATTTCTCCTTCAGGGCCTTCTTCTCCGAAAGGCCATTCTCTGTGTCTTCATCCCCCGATTCATATGCAGGTGGATTATCTCGAGGTAGTCCATGCTCCTCCAGTTCCCCTGTTCCCTCCTGCTCGGCCTGGCGAATGACCCGCTGGCAGGGATTCACATGCTTGAGCATCCAACACGAGGTTAGCCGGTCAAGAACTGTTTTGATGACACCCATAACCTGTGATAAGAAGAGTATAATTGATTAGCCTTCAAAGTTCCGAGCCCACACTTCCAGAACAAACCCGCGGCTTACCTTGACAAATCCCTTGTAGTCATCCTGGGCAAGGTCTTTCAACGTGAACAACCATTTTGTCGACCCCTTGAAGAACATGACAGACTGGCGTAAGTCGGGGAAATCCAGGCATGCCATTGTGAAATAGCTGACTTCCTTGCCCAACTGTTTCCAGTTTACCCCTTTGTTTATGCCATCGTGTTCCCTTATATAGATAGGTACTGGGTTCATTCTCCACTTCTCAAACTCATCCTCATAGTTGCGGAGGTGGGATTTTACGCCGTTTTCCTTGCCCTCTCGAATAACCTTGGTGACCATCTGGATCATCTGTGTAATGACATATAAGCCCCCGGATCGGAGAAGTCGACGGAGCACATGCATCTCCATCAAGACTCGCGAGTAGCTGGATTCCTCATCCGGTGCGGGCCAAGGGTACTCCAAAAATCGTTTCAAACGAGGTACTTGTTGTAGCTGGGCCTTGATCACCAAACAGTCTTGGTAGATGTATTTGTCTGGTTGAAAGTATGGGATGTCACTGAACCCAAATTTGGTGCGTCCGCAAACTGGAACAACACAGTCATTTTCCGGGGGGGAGGCAGGTGTCGCAAATTTGAACTCGTAGTGCTCCAAATTTGCAATTTCTAGTGGTTGGACGGGGATTATTACCACACAAGGGGACGATATCTCGGAGAGGCTGAGGCTAGCAAATGGGGAAGAAGCGGGCAACAGGACTCCGCGTGGGGTATCTCGATGGTTTGATCGGCCGAATAACATATTCTTAAAGGTCGATTGTAGATTCCAGCGTGGTTGTTGTGGCTGCCGACTTGGTCCGGCTTCGGCTAATCGTCTGACGGTTCCGTCATTGCCTCTCAGCTCGTCGCTCGCAAGATAAGAGGACAAGGACGGGTTGTCGTGGAGAATGATGCTCACCCTTTCCTCGAGGTCTCGGACGTGGGTTGCAGCTCGTTCGTCTGTATCGGCCTGCAAGGTGTCTACCAGCAAGGACAGCGAGATCCTGAAGGCCTCCAATCTCGGCAGGATAGACTCGAATCTAGGCTGGTTGCTAGTCCACTGCAGATGCTGTGCTCGGAGATGCGGTGCCGCTGGAAGACCATGGCCAGAAGAATGAGGATTCTCATCAAGGGGATGGATCGACGAGACGGCACCTTCGAGCTCAGAAAAGATGAGAACCCCATCAGTGAGAATGGCCACGAGATGGTCAACCTTGACAATTGCGGCGCGCTGAGCTGAAAGGGAAGCTCCACTCTGTATGATGCCCTGAAGAGCGGCGAGGAAGAGCTTGGTGCTTTGGGCTTCCGAATGAACTGGGACCACGATTGGGAGCAGCAGCTTTTCGAATACGGCGACATAGGGACCGAGGCCTTTCGACACCTGCCCCGCGGATCTGAGGAGGCCGGTGATGGCGGCAATGGCATCCATAGTCTCCTGGCCCAGGTGGCGGATGGTAATGGGAAGGACTTTGCAAGCGAGCCAAGCAACAGCGGCGGTCAGCTCCTTATATACGGTATGTTGGTTTGGGATGCCAGTTGGACGAGGCTCAGGTGTCTCGGTCTTTGACTCCGACTCTGTTCGCTTCATAAGAGACTTGCGATCAAATGGCAGTGCCCGTCGGGCTCCAGGCAGCTCTTGTCCGGGTGTGGCTTACGGCTCTTGGCAGCTGCAAGGCAATGCAGGACTTGCAGACGCACGTGGGAGAAATAAGCTGGAAAGTCTATCCGTAAGATTGGATCAATCGGCCAGACGGTTATTCTAATGCCCTGATTCCTACTTCTGCTCTGCGAGGTTGTATTACTATATGGGGGTATATGGAAAAGGAAGAAGCTGGTCTTAGACGTTATAGATTTACAATTTATAAGCCGTTTACGAAGGAAGAGGATAACTTTCGTACATATACAGTCGGTATACAATACAAATAATATAACTGTCGGGTATAACTATAAGTGAATACTAATACTCCGGATGAAAGTCTGCATGAGAGGGAAGGAGCGACTCAGCTAGAAGGGGAGCGGGTTACACCTTCCATCCCAACAATTAGCTCAGCCCGATTAGCTCAGCCGGTTAGAGCGTCGTACTAATACCATACCTGTAAATACGGTTATTGTATACGGTCATGCGAAGGTCAACAGTTCAATCCTGTTATTGGGCATCTCTTTTGATCCTTTTTCTTCTATGCTTAAGAACCAAGTCGGCTGTAAGTACTACTCTCAAGATATAATGTTACTAACTTGACTCGAGGAAATTTACCCATGTAAAAATAACGTGGTGATATTATTTGGCCGTGTTACTTGACGTTATTACCAAAGTGATGAGACGACATCTAGCTCAAAAGTAGAACACATCAAGGATCAATTGTGCATAAAGTCTGAAGCGCACAACCGTGCAGCAGTAAACAAGTTCAGCATCGGTATAGTTCCAACAATGGACCAGGTCTCCTCGTGTATATTTTCGTCCCCAAACTAAAACCACCGAGCCAACAAGTTAGGACGCCAACGGCGGGATCCCGCTCTCCTCGCTCTCATCAGAGATGATTCTCGGTGACCGTCCCTCGATCAAATGCTCGCCGGATTCTTTGCCCAATCCACCACCAGAACTGGTAGACCTCTTTATCCCTGACTCGGATGATGGGATTCCCGAAGAAGAATGGTGAGAATGATGGGCATGGTTTTCGTCATGCTTGTGGTGCTCTGTATGGTCGCCATGATGCTCGTCATGACGGTGCTGCTCCCCCTCTGGATGGTGATGCTGTCCTTCGACGCGATGGTGCTCGGAATGTTGATGTTCGCCCTCGTGCTGGTGGTGCTGGTGGCCAGCCTCTTGGACCACCTCGTCGGCCACTACTTCGCGTCTTGCATACATGGTCGTTGACTGTTCGGAAGACTTGTGAATGCAGCGTCGTTGAGTGAAATCGCTACGTTTTGCTGGGTACAGGAGAAGATGGCGATTCTCCAAGAAGGCCGAAAACGTCCAAGATCAAGTCCAAAGCAGAGGGAAGCAAAGGTGCGTCATATACGTCATTATCCCCAACTCTGAGCAGGCCCCATCCTTCCGCGTCATTGAGACTACCACACCCAGCTTAGACCTCGGGGTAAAGTCCGGACTGTGTCCGGCACGGTCGCAACACCATAGTGACGACGTGCATGTACTTACGGCTCATGTCCGATGCCGGCGCCCTAGGTTCCCCATGCCATATTATTCCCATTGATCAAGGACCAATAGGTCGTATCCAGTCCTTGTAGGACCCAATCCTCCGCGCCGGCCATCAAATCCGGTATCTCCAAAGCGCCGTCCTGGGGCTGCACATCAAAGTCCATGTACATGCCATTGATCGATGTGTCGGGTGGAAGCAATGCCGGGTCGAACGCGGCCATGTCCACCTGCATATCGTCGCCTCCTTGGGTCATTGCCGGGACAGACGGCGTGACGGCCCTATGGGTGGTGGAGAGACCGGCCATTTGCGGCTGTAGTTGTTCCATGCCGGGAGTAGAGGCAGCCGTCCCCGCAAAGGCGACCGGGCAGGGCGTGGTACCGGCATTGTCACGTCTGGAGAACGGGGTGTTCCCGCCTTGCCCCTCGGGGACGTTCACGTTGGGATGAAAGTTGATGGTGCCGAGATAAGGCACCTTGAGATGCAAACATTTTAGCACATGGCTATTACACTCGGACAGATCACCCATCAAAGACCGATCAATGAGGTCCAGAATTGGCATCATTTGGCCGAGGATATCTGCCGATTCTTGAGTGACCTTGTCCCGGTTGGTGATGGCAACGTGCTGCATCCGTTCGCGGACCACCTCTACTAGCTTCCTGTCCTCGTTGCGCTCTTTACACGTGGGTGCTGGTTCCGTCGCATGCTGGTGTTGGCGGAGGTAGGTGAGGAGCAGTGTCATGGAGGCAACCAGGGCCGAGTAGTCCACATGTCGGCAAGCCCAGGCCGCCGTGACCTTGCTGCGGAAGGGAATGAAGCGCTTGAGAACTTCACGGCTGGACCGCGCACATGTCGTCTTGCTGTAGTCATATCGAGTTTCCGAGGGATCACGGAGCATGTAGGGCAAGTGAAGGAGGATCAGGAGGTCAAAGTGGCGCATCTGGAGCATCTGGCGCAGCATCTCTCCCAACTTGTGGCCAGTCTCATCCGTCATGTCAAAGTCTGGCTCAGACCACCAGTCCGCGCCCATCGACGTTGCAGCTGACTGCAGCTCGGCGTCGATACTCTGTGTGATGGCGTATGCCTCACTAGAAGATCTGGTGGCGTTGCGTTCAATGATGCGCCCAGTGAGGACAACATGGAGCTTTTCGAGCCGTTCCATGGCTGTGTCGCGTTTCATGGCTTCCTCGGTCGCGAAGCTGTTGTCGAGGTCCCCAGCCGGCAGACCCAGGAGGAGCGAAGACACTCTGTCGCAGGCGTTGATGCGGTACCATAACCCTGCCGGGGTCGAGTGTTTCAGGGGGTCGGTGCTGGTGTCGACAAACTTGAGAGCGCGCGTAGATCCTCTGTCAATGCCCATCAACTGGCCGAGACTCAGGGCTCGGCGGTAGGTCAACCACGCCTTGCGCAAGTTGCCGGCGTTGGCATGCCACAGTCCGAGAAGCACCAGGCACTCCAGGCCTTCGCCAGTGGACACAATCTCGTCGATCGAGGTGACGAGGTTGGTTACTGTGGTGACGACACTGTTCATGTACTCTGGAATTGTCCCTTTTATTTGGAGCGGAGCCGTGTCGTAGCCTGGGTGCAGTTGCTGCATGCAAATACAGATCTGAAGCAGTCTTCTGGCGAGCACGGTAGGATGGCTCGCTACAAGGGGGATCACAGCTACACAATTGGCCGTCTCGACTTTGCCTTCGATCAGATCACGGAACGAACTGAAGAGGGAGGTAAGATAGTATGGACCGGCATTGGCTTTCAACAGAACAGGGAGCGCGTCTTGGGGAGGAAACAGGGCATATAGGGTGCGACTGGACTTGGAGTATCTGGATGACGACAGTTTGGCAGGTGCCGGGGACTGGTCGGACTCGGGGGTGAGCATGGAAGAAGGACGGGCTGCATCGCGAAGACCGAGAAGGAGGCCAGCTGGAGTGTCTGGACCAAGCGAAGCCTCAAGCACGTCCAGTGTCTGATGAAAGGACAGTCCTTCATTCTGCGCAGAGTCTTGTGACGGGGTGGGCGATGCTCTGTTGGAACGGCTGGCCGAGCCATTTGCCAGCTGACCACCTGCCTCGGGGATGATACGGTCTACCAGGCGGGCCATGAGGTCTTCTAGTCGACCCAGGCGCTGGGCCATGCGCCGATCGGGTTGTTGCGACGGCCGGGTGTCTTTGTCGACATATTCTTGACTGCGGCATGTGCTTCCGCGCGCTTGACAGGGAAGACATACTGTATCGTTTCCCGCATATTGGCATCTGATCTTGCGGCGACGGCCTATGAGAAGAAGAGGAGCGTCAGTAGGGTAATTAGGGCTGTGGAGGGTGCAGATGGGCGTAAAAGTATGTGCCTACATTCCCAGCAGCTATGGGTACCCTTGCGGACCTTTCGCCGCTTCAATTCCGCCTCTCGCTGCGCTTGTTCCGACATGGCAACGACCGGTAGTCTATGCTAGCAGCGATGTACTCGATGGGTGGGAATGGTCGGAATGGTGTGCGTTAGTTAGTACTGGTTATTCGTGCAATCGTTGACCGTTTGAGCCGCGAACGGACGAAGTTGTCGATTCGGTCCAGGGTCGGACGAAAGAGAAGACACTCCGGCAATGCTCTCAGCTTGGGTTCGGTGGATGCGATGGTAGATTTAAGCAATAAGACCGATATCATCCAGTTGGCAAATTCTCATAATTACTGTCTCGGGAGCTCTTTGCTGTGCTCATGGACTTGTACATGGTTTGCTGACATTGTTGCACTTGATCCTTCTGCTTCTGGGGCTCTCCTCACTGAGCTTCGCATGAGAGCACAACGGACGAAATCCGGACGAAATGCTGACCCATTGGAGATGACAAAGCACTTGTTAAGTGGACTGTGGGGTCTGGTGGAAAGTGGGGTGACTGATTACTAACACGGCTTTGTCCACGCCGCTCCCTGCCCCTCCTTTCCTTCACTCTTCAGCTGTCTCGGCATCAATTTGGAAGTTATCTATCCGTAACCACATCTCATCACGACTTTACCATCCACATGCAACATGATGGTGTTCAATGTTCCATCTCTCATGCCCGGATTGCAAAATAAATCACGGCTCACTAATCCGCCTCGTCAACTTCAAGGCCTCAATTGCCTCCTCCTCGTCCAGCAAGTCCCCGTCCAATTGCTCGCCCCGCCCGTCCCAGGCAGCACACTGTCCCGGAGCTTCTCTCGTGACCAAGATTCCCATCCAAGCCCCAAACATCAAGCCCAAAAATACCACAAATCCCAACATCTCTAGCCACTTCCTATCATGCCTGTGCTTGACCCATGAAGCGATCCATTCCACTACTGGAGTCACCACCGCCTGTCGCTCGGCTTCCAGGTCTGGGTTGACGGTGATGAGTAGACCCAGTAAGGACAACAGTATGAGCCAGAGGAGAAGGACGTTGAGGGCTTGTATGACGGCGACAAGAATGGATACGTTCTTTATTGTGTCGAGGACTCTGAAGCCGGTTTGGACCAACGGCGTGACTTGGTCAAATGCCGTGTTGATTTGCTTCGAATAGGGAATGCCCATTTTTGGCCAGTTCTCAGTTCCTGCTTCGCTCTTGATATTATGAGTTGTTGGCACATCGGTTAGCACCTGTCGTGATTCCGATTTCCCGACTGTTTTGAGAAAATCCTCGATTTACTTATACCGAGACCTGGGCCCGCCAATATGACGAAGTGAGCACTCAGCACTCAGCGAGTCAGCGATGGCTTCAAACTGTGTCGTCATGATTTCACAGCGCCGGTGCCACTTGCGTACTCCAAGTCTGTGGATTCTTTCTTTGTCTAGTTACCATTAGATCAGACGTGGAACAGGCCATGATGTCCATTGTTAGGTTCATCTAATATGAACTCAATCGCACATTCCATGAACACATCTTGGATGGCTGATATCTAACCCTAACCCCCATTCATCTGAAAGTGTCCACATTTTGTGAGCATTTGATTCGCCCAGAAAAAAAAAAGTCTCTGAATCCATTTACACTCACAGTC